GGGGTCCCTCTGCAAGATGCCTCCTATTTATCCCTCTCATGCAGCCAATTAGTCATCAACTGGCCTTTCTTAATGCTGCTTCAAAGAGAGTTCTTCCAAGGGCAGGCACTTGCTGCTTGACTCCCAAGGCGTCTGTATGTCCAGTCTTCTTAATGAGCTCACTTTACAGATATTGTCTTGGGTCTGACTCCCAGACCTTCTCCACCCTTACAACTGCTGCTGGAGGTGCTCCCCTTTCCTTCTCCATTCACACCTCATTCATTTCAATAGGACAATCAAGGAGAGGGGAGAGCTCAAAAGACATTTTTTTTCTTGCTTGACTCCCAAGGCGTCTGTATGTCCAGTCTTCTTAATGAGCTCACTTTACAGATATTGTCTTGGGTCTGACTCCCAGACCTTCTCCACCCTTACAACTGCTGCTGGAGGTGCTCCCCTTTCCTTCTCCATTCACACCTCATTCATTTCAATAGGACAATCAAGGAGAGGGGAGAGCTCAAAAGACATTTTTTTTCTTACAAGGAAAGTTTCTCTTAATACAAAGTTATAGGAGAAATGTTACAGAGATTCTATACGAACACTTAAAGACATCTAAAAAGGACAAAGATTTCTCCACAGGTCAGCCCCCTCCTCCATGCAGTGGGGAGCCCGCGCTGACTGGAGCTGGGTCTGGCGGGGAAGGTGGTGGTGGTGGTGGTGGGGGGGGAGGGCCTTTGAGAGGAGATGCCCAGGGCTTTAGTAAGATGCTTGGTACAAACACCCCAGGACTGGACGGGGTAAGGAACTGGGGTCGGGCAGCCCTACAGTGTACTTCAGCAGTATTGCCCTTGAATTTCGTTCACTCCCTGGGCTCAGTCGGGTTCCTCTTTTGCAGGCTCTTAAGCTGGATGCACAGGATGCTGCTCTCAAGCTTCAGCATCCGCAGAGACTCAACCAACTCCGTGGTCAGCTACACCTCCAGGTCGGGCTCTTCATACTGGAGCCTGCCTAGCCACGGGGGCTTGATGGCCTCGGCCTATCTCTTCACCAGCTGTGCCTATTGCCTGCACAGCAACAGAGCCTCCTGCTGCTTCATCTTCAGCCGGGTGACGTGGAGCCGGAAAAGCTCCTGGCACCGGCACTGCGCACCTTCTCGCCCAGCTACTGGAACTCAGCTTCCTTCTCCCTCCTGCCCTGCTGCTACGTTTTTATCTCATGCAAGAGTAATGTTGGCTGTTCTACACTCCCCGCCCCACACACACACTCCCTTTGGCTTCCTGCTCAGAGCCGGTGCTGCGACCTCACAGCGGCGTGCTGACCACAAGGCTGCAATGACAGCCGGCTCCCTGCTGCGTGGGGGAGGAACAGGGGGCTGAGCTTGAGCCATGGAGCCTGGGAGGTGGCCACAGACCACACTTTGAGAACCACTGGCATAAGCTCTCAATATGGTAGTGTTGGAAAAAAGCCATGCAGTTTAGACTGCATTAATAGCATGCAAGTCATGGAAGGTGCCAGTACCACTCAACTTAGTTCTGATTAGAAGTTAGCTGGGGTACTGTGCCCAACTTTCGTCAGCACTGTAAGAGAAACTGGAAAAGATCTGGAGATGATTGAAAATGATGCTCAGAGGGATGGAATGCAACCTTATGAGCAAAGGCTGAAAGATCTGGGTATATTGGGTATGCAACAGAGGGGATTAAGCTGCCATAAGAGATGGAGAAGTGCTGATCTCTCTTGCCACAGAGGGCAGGACCACTGACAATAAATTCAAATTGAAGCAGAGTTTGGTGGTGCCTGGAATGGGATTGTTTCTCAGAAAACCATACAGAAGAGAAACAGAATCACCAGGCACATGAAAGAGTCTGGCTGGGGGCTCCCCTCCCTTCAGTACTGTCCCAGACTCCAGCATCCTGCCCCCTCGGCACCTCCTAGGGAGAACAGGAGATGGATCTGAAGCATTCTTCCCCGGTTCATATGGGACGATTGCTCGTTTTTCCCCTTTGTGGGACTGAGTGAGGGGAAAGTGCACAGTTTTCTGCATTCCTAACTCTGGCTGGGGAGCACAGGGGGCAGAGGAACTTAGACCTGCCTCA